CTACCTTTGTCAACTTTTTAAAAACCATTTCACTGCTAATCAGCCTTTTCACCAGATCTGACAGAGGAAATAAGCTTAAAACAGCTTTCTATTCATAGTTAAGAAAGCAAATGTTAGTTATAAGATTTGTGAATTACTGGTTATACACATATTCTTTCTCCATCAGTGAAGGAATAATTAAATATATAAGTAAAACTGAAACTATAAGCACAGGCAACCAAAGGAAAAACAGATATACTGGACTGCCTTAAACTTCTGTGAATCAAAAGACACCATCAAGAGTGAAAAAACCTACAGAATGGGAGAAAATATCTTCAAATCATGTATCTTGATAAGGGTTTAATACATGGAATTATAAAAGAACTCCTACAGTTCAAGAACAACAAAAACCCAAACAACCGAATTAAAAAACAGGCAAAGGACTGAAATAGACATTTCTTCAAAGAATATATTCGACATCACTAGCCATCACAAAATGCAAACCAAAACCACAAGATAACCCTCACTCCACACTCACTAAAAAGGCTACAGTTTTAAAGCATGAAATTACAAGTGTTGATGAAAATGTGGAGAAACTGGAACCCTTGTATGTTGCTGGCAGGAATGTAAACCGGTACAGCCACTGTGAGAAAGTTCGGCAGTTCCTCAAAAAGGTAAACACAGAACTACCATATGATCTATTAATTTCTAGGTATATATCCAAAAGAATTGAAAGTAAGGACACAAACAGCTATCTGTACACCAAAGTTCATAAAGCAATTATTTTTTACAATAGCCAAAAAGTGGACACAATCCAAATGTCCATCAACAGAAGGGACAATCAAAATGTGGTACACATACAATGCAGTGTTATTCAGCTATAAATTTAGTACTGATACTTGCTACAACAGCATAAACTTGGGAAGACATGCTAAGTGAAATGTACCACAAAACAAATATATGAATCTACTCATATAAATATCTAGAATAGGCAAATTCAGAGACAAAACATATTTTAGAGGTTACTAGGGGTTGGAAGGAGAGGGGAGCAAAGATATTGCTTGATGGATCCAGAATCTGGAGTGATGAAAAATTCTGGAAATACAGTGATGACGGCTGCACACTGTGAATTAATGTCACTGAACAGTACACTTAAAAGTAGCTAAATTGGCTAGTTTTATATGTATTTTATTAAAAATTTTAAAAAGCTAGAAAAAAGAAAGAAACTAGCATTCTTTATTATAACCCCGAGTTCAAGCTCTGACTCTGCCATTTATGTTATGTCATGTTGAGTAAGTTGTTTAATTTCTCCCAGCTTCTTCCATCTATAAAATAGAGATTACTACCCACCGCCCAGAGTTGTTGGAAGACTAAATGAGAACATAACCATGGTACCTGTTACATAATAAATACTGGATAAATGGTAGCTGTTATTATTCAAAAACCACTGTTCTCATCAAGTAGGTGTTAAGGCTGCTATAAATGGATATCCTAAAGAACTCCATATTCTCAAGACACTCTGAAATAAAGAAATCAATGTCCAGCATTCAGAATTATCCTCTTATAAACCTGGAAACCAGTGACCACCTGGGTCAGTAATCTTGGGAAACCAATGAATGTACAGAATAAATGACACACCCAGAAAGTGAGAGCCTACTCCGTACATCACCACTTTCATTAAAGAAATGATCAAAATATGAAAAGGTTATTGATGTCTTCAATCAATTTCATTTTGTCTTTTTCCTCCACATACTTCTTATTTTTAAAAATCATCAGAGATTTAATTCCTTAGCAAATGACATGGGCTAGAGCCTTGTCTAGAGGACCTAAGTGTCAACCTCAGCACCACAATGTCATCATAAGATGGAGAACCATACAAAATATGCTGTCTAAAAATGTCAAAACAATGGGAAATTCTACAAGTGTGGAATTTTGGAGAGAACTGTTGAATAATCTTGTATAACTTCTAAAATATATCTTTCTTGGTTAAAATTAGGCATTTAAAAAATGGTCAAAGTAGCTGAAACTCAAAAACTGAATTCGATGGAAGGTATGCCAGAAGACACTACAAATGATTCCAAAACAACACACAGACAACACAAGTCTTACAACGTGAATTAAGTCATTTCCATATTCTATAATCTTTTAAAAAAATTTACCAAATTCCTTCAAAGACATCATCCACCTAGAAAGGAAGTTTTTCTCAATATACACACAAACATTTGCATACTTAAAAAGACTTATATTCAGAGGGAAAGGGAAAGCAGAGTATTTCAAATGGCAAGAGTTTTTAGTCATTTTACTAAACCTGGCTGATATTCAGAAAGTCAAGCCATTCTAAAATAGTGATGTTTGCACAACATTTTGAATGTAATTAAATCTGTCGTGAAAATCTTAAATCTCTCATGAAATTCAACATGGTAAGACTGTATTTTACTCCATGTTGATTTAAAAAAAATTTTCAAAACCCAATATCTCCAGATTAAAACTACTAACCATTATTGTATCTCTGAAAAGTGAAGGATCTGTGCCAACACCCTTAGGAAAAAGTCTTTCCCTTCCAAACAAAAATCTACTATAATAGCAAGAAACTATTTAACATGTTAACCTGAAACACTCACCTGAGCTAATTCCTTTAAACCACAATTAACTCTTTAAATATCATGACAACAATAAATAAAGAATAAAGACTTCCATAATTAAATTCCAGAAATAATCCTTTTATTCCACACAGCTCATTGCTTCACCCCAGTTACATCAGGGCCATGCCTTCTCTCCAGAAAAAAATAAAGAGGTTTGGTGATTGATATTCCTTTTTTCTAAACTTTATTTTGAAAAGGTATAGCACAGCTTAAGGTCCAGAGAACTCAGTTCTCAAAGAAATTGATACTATAGCTAGTTAACTAGATATCATTGGTAATAAATTACCAAAAGCGAATACTTCTTGCTTTTAAAAGCCCATGTTAATAATGCCTGATTGGTCCTAAGTCATACTACAAAAAGGCTTAAATAAATTGGCTCAAGTGCATTATTAACAAGAGAAAAATGGTTATCAGAATATTAAAATGAGTGTGAAAAAATTTAATTAAAACTAAACACTGTTTATAACAAGCACACTACCTATACTTACTAAAAAGTAACACTATCTATAGTTCCATACCATTAATAATCACCTCATTTGCAGGAAGAATCATTTTGACCCCTAATACGATTGTAACCCAAGGTTGTTTCAAATTATGCCCTTTTTATCTTCCTGCTTCGTTTTCACTGAGAATCTCATTGTTAATCTGCCACCAAGTAATTATGCTATGACTTGAAATGCACTATAAAATATCGTTTTTTACGGACGATTTTTTTCAAGTCACACTTCGCTGGGCTCTCAAACTACCTGTCCAGGATTTAGTCACAGGATGCCCAAAGATTTTAATGAAGTGGCATGGCTAAACATCTTGCAATTTAGGAAATTCATCATAGGTGTACATGGTTTATAGATGGCGCTTAAGTACCAGGCAAGCAATTGGTCTAAATGTTAGCATATTAAGAAAAAGTTATAAACCCACCCTCCTCAAACGATTTAGTTTAGGAACTTATAAATATGTCCCACATTTTGAGACATCTAACATAAAGTTGGAACAAAACCAACACTGTCATCTTTGCTGTTCCTAAAAGCTGTTTCTTCTTTAACTAAAACATTCTGTCCTCTTCACAAACTATAGGAATGGACTCAGCAAGAGGTTATTTAAGAAAAAGTAAAACTGTATTATTCTGCCATACTACGATTTAATTAAAATACCTCTCCTCAGCAAACTGCTATTTACAACCAAGCAGAAGTGCGTTCCGGGTTACAAAAACTTTTACAGTACCGATCCTACTGGGCTAAGTCGGACTCTTAGGTATTTGTACTTTTAACTCACATACTTTCCTTTACACAAGACGGATAGGAATTTGATTAGCCCACTCCAACAGCACACTGGCCCAACATTCCCATGCTGCAGCAAGAAGCCACGTTTTACTCGGGCAGACCATTTCCCCACCCCTCGTTAAAATGATGCCTGTGGCCACTTGAGACTTCCCCAGCCGAGCTCCAGAAACTTGCAGGTTTAAATGGCCAAATTGGAACCAACCAGGGCAGCTGTCATCTGAAACTCAGGAAAGCTGAGACCAGCCAACTCTGCCGAACGAGGACGGGTGCGGAGAGATGTGGCGGGGCCCGTCGGAGGGAATGCATTAGGCTCCCCTCCCCACCCCACCCCCATCAATTCGCTTTTCTGCAACCCCAGCGCCGCCATCCTGTTCCTGAATAATTAAACGGGCTGGAAAGGGAGTGAGGTGGCCAGAGAAGCAGTTTCTGGTCCGAGTTTCCCAAGCCGAGGCAGTGGGGTCGAGAGGACGCGCGGAGGGCTTTTCTCGAGGGCCGGGGAGAAACGGGGGCGACCCCGCGGCCCGCGGGGCGGCCGGAAGCGGACTGCGGGGAGTGACGTGGAG